TATTCACTAGGTTGTCTAGACAATGTATACTTAATTAGTCATCCATGCTTGTTGATTCAATCAATCACAACTCTATGTATTGCAACACATGTTTCCCCTCATTCATTACACATTGAGTGTCTCGAAAGGTGATGTTTAGTGGTGACCTCCAAATCCCAAGACCTCTCACTCTTGTTCTCTACCCTTTGTTTATTTTAATTACCTTATATTAAATTTATTTACATTGTAGTTTAATTAACCAAATAAACAATCTTTTGATCACTCGACCTACTAATCCAACCTTATTTCCATTTCAAACATGCATCCGATCCCTTGGGACGATCCCTACTCACCCTAGCTATATTAGTAGTTAGAAGTAGTAGTGGCACTTTATAAATTTAAACTTGGGCAGACTTTTCAATGCAATTTGGGGTGTTACGACGCGCCGGACCAAGTTTTGGCTCCGTTGCCGGGGATCAAACCCTGGTCACCCGCGGCTCATTTGGTTGTTCTACTAGAACCTCCGGCCGGCCCCGAGTAATCTATCAGAGTTGCAGACTACTATTGATGGCCATCTCATCCGTATTACCGTTGAGTCATTGGCCACATCTTCTCGATGCCCCCACGTCTGCCCTCCTGACCTTCATGATCCTATTCTCCGGAGGCCATCTGACACAGATATGGCCATTGCTCTGACTGGCCATTACAGTGATGGCGAGACATTTGCCACCCGGACTTATTTGCCCAATGATTTATAGTTCTTCGACTTGGTCTTGTACCGAAATGTATTTATGGCAGGCCATAAAATCCTACGGCGATCAAATTTTCTTGCAGCTCTCTATGCCTTCTATACAGGCCATTGGTTTTCTGTTCCTGCACTCTACTAGAGTGTTATGATGAGATTGTATGCGAGCTACATTAGTAAAGCTAAGCCCATGCGAGCCACCTTCCTTCCCTTTGAACATTTGATTCCCCAGATTCTCAGAGACCAGCATGATCCCTTTCACGCGGCAGAACATATTAAGTCAGGGGTTTGCCACTATGACAAGAAGGATTGGAACAAGAGTTACAATGCTCTTATAAAGAGTTTAGAGCAGGAGGCCATCTTAGCAGCTGAAGAGGTTGTAGAGGTAGAGTTAGCAGAGATGGAGGAGCAAGCAGTGGCAGTAGCAGCAGCAGCAGATGATCCAGCAGACCCACCAGCCGCTGCGGATGCATATATGGATATAGATCTGGAACGGGAGCCTCTAGCAGAGTCACCACATCACTCTCCGGTAGGGTCGCCATTACATTCTCAGGAGCAGAGTCAAGATATACCTCAATTTCATGATCCAGTCATCCCTGATGCTCTAGTCCAGACACCCATCCTAGAAAAGCGTATCCAGACATTGGAGGATGCAGTTGTCTCTCTCCGAGCAGACGTGACTACTATCCGCTCAGATATATTGACTGTGCTACAGGGTATTTCCAGAGATATCCAAGGATCACGCCCCGCCAGACCGACTTCCTCTGCTTGATCTCTATCTCTCTTTCCTCATTTTATATACCTATGATGTTTGACTATTATTCTAATACTGTTACTATATTTTTGCAGCCTGTCTGTTAGCCCAGATCCTGTAATGTACCTTATACTATTTTTATTTTCTTTATCCTATGCATAATATTTTTGGATGTCTAGTTATTTTATTGATATATTTAACTGTGATTGACTCCATTATCAGGTACCTTCTAGTGATTTCAGTAAGAGAGTGCTGCCCAAAATTTTTCAGGACCATCCTTATTCCTCTTTCTCTTTACTTTATTTCCTATCCCATTTACACTTGCATGTCCACTATGCACTATTATTATCCCCTTTTGTTATCTGATGAGCTTTTATCCCAGTGCCATCTTTTCAAGACCGCAATCAATCCCAAGTTTGGGGATTATACCAACCACTTCGGATACTTGTATCTCGACCATTCTTTGCCTTAGCTGCACTGGTATACTCTTTCCTTTTGTTCTCTTTGCACATTGAGGACACTGTGCCATTTAAGTTTGGGGGTAATGGGTGTTATTTGCAATCTTTGTTTTCAATTCAAAATTTTGAGCACGAGTTGTGTATTTGAGGGATTTTCTATGATTGATCTATGACTAGCTATGATTTTGATCTTTTGAGGACTATATTGCTTAAAATTTAAAAATTACTTGACTTGAGAGTCCAATACTCCTTGTATGCCCTATGGATGCTGTTGACCTTGAATCAAAGGTTTTTGATGATCATAATTCATTAATGATGTTCTATGATTACTAATGTCTTCTTGAGTGAAATTACAGAGCAAAGCAGTGGCAGTAGCAGCAGCAGCAGATGATCCAGCAGACCCACCAGCCGCTGCGGATGCATATATGGATATAGATCTGGAACGGGAGCCTCTAGCAGAGTCACCACATCACTCTCCGGTAGGGTCGCCATTACATTCTCAGGAGCAGAGTCAAGATATACCTCAATTTCATGATCCAGTCATCCCTGATGCTCTAGTCCAGACACCCATCCTAGAAAAGCGTATCCAGACATTGGAGGATGCGGTTGTCTCTCTCCGAGCAGACGTGACTACTATCCGCTCAGATATATTGACTGTGCTACAGGGTATTTCCAGAGATATCCAAGGATCACGCCCCGCCAGACCGACTTCCTCTGCTTGATCTCTATCTCTCTTTCCTCATTTTATATACCTATGATGTTTGACTATTATTCTAATACTGTTACTATATTTTTGCAGCCTGTCTGTTAGCCCAGATCCTGTAATGTACCTTATACTATTTTTATTTTCTTTATCCTATGCATAATATTTTTGGATGTCTAGTTATTTTATTGATATATTTAACTGTGATTGACTCCATTATCAGGTACCTTCTAGTGATTTCAGTAAGAGAGTGCTGCCCAAAATTTTTCAGGACCATCCTTATTCCTCTTTCTCTTTACTTTATTTCCTATCCCATTTACACTTGCATGTCCACTATGCACTATTATTATCCCCTTTTGTTATCTGATGAGCTTTTATCCCAGTGCCATCTTTTCAAGACCGCAATCAATCCCAAGTTTGGGGATTATACCAACCACTTCGGATACTTGTATCTCGACCATTCTTTGCCTTAGCTGCACTGGTATACTCTTTCCTTTTGTTCTCTTTGCACATTGAGGACACTGTGCCATTTAAGTTTGGGGGTAATGGGTGTTATTTGCAATCTTTGTTTTCAATTCAAAATTTTGAGCACGAGTTGTGTATTTGAGGGATTTTCTATGATTGATCTATGACTAGCTATGATTTTGATCTTTTGAGGACTATATTGCTTAAAATTTAAAAATTACTTGACTTGAGAGTCCAATACTCCTTGTATGCCCTATGGATGCTGTTGACCTTGAATCAAAGGTTTTTGATGATCATAATTCATTAATGATGTTCTATGATTACTAATGTCTTCTTGAGTGAAATTACAGAGCAAAGCATTCATCAAAACAAGCACTACAATACAAGGACAAATCTGAAGAAGCAACACCAAGGCATGAGCAAAGGACCCAGCAATCAAAATTCAAAGTCAAGTCATCAGAAGATATCAAAATGGGGTTAGCTAGGTTGGTGAGATTCTTAGGAAGCTTTGTTAAAGTGTATATGAATATCTTGAAGTTCAACCTCTTCAACATTATGCGTATCATCTCAATCACCATGACTAAGGAACAAAGGACCTAAGCATATCCTTATCTGAAAATGTAAATCCATTTCGGTCTACCGAAATGAGAAGCACTTGTATATCAGTCTACCGAAATGAACCAAGAGTTAGGATCAAAGCTTTAAGTTATTTCGGTCTACCGAAATAAATCATCATTTCATTTTAGTCTACCGAAAAGAATATACAAATCCAACTAATAGTTATTTCGGTCGACCGAAATAACTAAGAGTTCACTTCGGTCTACCGAAATAGATATACCGAGAGGGTGAAGTTCAATCCTAAAACTATTTCGGTCGACCGAAATAAACATGGGTTCCTCTCCGGTCTACCGAAGCTAAAGTACTGAGAAGGGTGTCCAAACAGAAAACCATTTCGGATGACCGAAACTTAAGGGAGTTTCACTTCGGTCGACCGAAGCTGCGCATTTCAAACTTCTAATGGGCATTTCTGTCTTGGGGTGTGTGTCCAACAGCTAGAAAAGTATCAGACATCATCTGAATGTGTATATAATGACTGAATAACTTCATAAATGAAAGAAGATTTCATTGAAAAAGATCAACTAGCAATCAAAGCCTTTTATCATCATTTCATACACATCATATATCATAAAAGAGAGTTAAGCTTCAAGTTATTTATATATACTCTAAAGTGAGCTATATCTTGTACTTCAGATCTGAAAAAGAGATCATCTTGTACTTCATCTATATATTTCAAAAACTTGTAAGAGCTGGTGTGGCTCAAGGAAGACTAAGAGAAGGTGTATCTCTTAGCACTTAGAAGCTAGAAGGTGCTTCTTGTAAAAGGTTTGCTCTCCACCCGCAAAGAGAAGCCTTAGTGAATTGGGAAGTCTCAAGAGGGGTCTTAAGCCGAGGAGTAGGAGTTTCTAAACCTCGCTAAAATCGCTGAGTACATGTTTGCAACTTCTATCTTTATCTCTCATATTTATTGCTTCATGTATGTCTTGATATACCTCTTCATAAATATTGACAATTAATGCTTAAATTCAGTTTGCATTATTCAATATTTGCCAAAGAAGTTAAGTTTAACTTTAGTTGATAAATCAATATTAAAAAATTGACCTTAGTTTGCTTAGACTCTATTCACACCCCCCCCCCCTTCTCTAGAGTCTATACTTGGGCAACAATTGCTATCAGAGCTTGGTCTCTATTGAAATAACTTAAGTGTTTTAGAGATCGATCATGGCAAACTTAAATGGTCACCTTCTTCAAGAAGGTCAATCCAACACTAGACCTCCTTGGTTCGATGGAACAAATTATGGGTATTAGAAAAATAAAATGATAGACTTCCTCCAATCCATGGACTACCAAATTTGGTTGGTTATCGTTAATGGACCTTTTGTTCCAATGAAAGGATTTGGTGCTGAAAGAGTCCGTAAGACTGAAGCTGAATGGAACACCGAAGATTATAAACTTATCTCCTTGAATGCTAAAGCCAAAATCAATCTTAATTGTGCTATAAGTCCTAATGAATATAATAGAGTCTCTACCTGTACCACAGCTAAAGAAATCTGGGATAAACTCCAGATTACCTATGAAGGGACATCACAAGTTAAGGAATCCAAAATTGACATCCTTATGCATCAATATGAACTGTTTCGCATGAATGAAAATGAGTCTATTAGTACAATGTTTGTGAGATTTACTGACATTATTAATGGCTTAAAACACCTTGGCAGAACTATGACTAATTCTGATCTTACAAGGAAAATTCTTAGAAGCTTACCTGAAAAATGGGATGCTAAGGCAACTGCAATCAAAGAAGCTCATAACCTCAATACACTTGAGCTGGATGAACTTCTCGGTTCTCTTCTCACATGGGAGATCACTCTAAAAGATAGAGAAGGAGATCATCATCGAAAGAAAGAAATTTCTCTAAAAGCCTTTCAATTTGAAAAGGAAGTTTCCAACAACGAAAGTGAAAATGATGATCTAGCCCTTATTACTCAATCCTTTAAAAGATTTCTTAATAGGAAGAAATTCAACAAGGGAAGGTTCAAAAAGGGAGAATCCTCTAATGAGCAAGGCAAATGTGACTCCCCCACCTAATTTCATTGTGGAAAACTGGGACACTTTAAAGCTGATTGCTATGCCTACAAGGAGGAAAAGAAAAAGAAAAGAGCAATGCAAGCCACTTGGGAAGAATGGATCCGAAAGTGATGAGGAAAAAGTCATTCTTTGTCTCAAGGCGAGTAGGGATGAGGTAAATTCTAATTCTGACTCCTCTTCCGAAAATGAAATTACTTATGATGATTTAGTTGATGCATATAATGGTTTACTTAATGGCTTCAAAGAATTGCATTATGAACTAGGTAAAATGGTAAAAAAATGTGCTTCTCAAATAAGAGAAAAACTTATCCTTGAAAACAAACTTCAAACTCTTCTAAATGAAAATGAGTGCTTGAAAAAGGAATGTATTTCACTTAGAGAAATAGGACCACCTGAACTCATATCTGAAAATGAATCTTTGAAGTTAATCATTGAAGACCAAATTGACAGTCTAGCTAAGTTCACTCAAGGTACCAAAAATCTAGAACTTATGTTAGGTGCTCAAAGAGGTGTCTTTAATAAAAATGGATTAGGATATGACCCTTTTGACAAGAAAGCATGTCTATTGAATAAAAGAGAGTCCTTGGCTAATTACTTTGTCAAGAGCAAGAACAAAAATTCTAAATGTAATTATTGTAAAAGAATGGGTCATCTTATTCAAGAGTGCTCAAAGAGAAAGCCTAAATTCATAAAGAAGTGGGTTCTTAAAGGAACATATATGCTCTTAGCTAACTCCCATGGACCCAACAAGATTTGGGTACCAAGTGAAAATATTTGAAATCTCTTTTGTAGGATGGTTTCAAAGTCTCCACGTCTTCCAAAGACAAATGGTTTCTTGATAGCGGATGCTCAAGACATATGACGGGTGACCGTGCAAAATTCTCCTCTCTAGAAGCATACAATGGAGGAAGCGTAACATTTAGAGATAATTCTAAAGGCAAGGTAATTAGCATTGGGATTATAGGTATTTCTCCTTCTTTGTCAATTGAACATGTCTTACTTGTTGAGGGTTTAAAGCATAATCTATTTAGTGTTAGTCAACTTTGTGATAATGGTTTTGATGTAACTTTTAAATCGGATAAATGCATTGTTAAAAGAAATGAATCTCAAATATTTTGTGCTCCTAGAAGTGGTAATGTATATACTTTGCTCTTAGGTGAACTTCAAGAACAAGATGTTAAATGTTTCATGTCATCCAATGAACATAGTTGGTTGTGGCATAGGAGGTTAAGTCATGCTAGCATAGATTTAATCTCAAGATTGTCTAAAAATGATCTAGTCAAAGGTCTCTCTAAGATAAACTTTTCAAAAGACAAACCGTGTAGTGCTTGCCAAATCGGTAAACAAATCAAGTCCTCCTTCAAAAGGAAAAAGGATATAACCTCTTCAAAACCACTTGAATTCCACATGGATCTTTTTGGACCGGAGAAAATTGCTAGTCTTGGTGGTAAACTCTATTTCTTTGTGATCGTAGATGACTACTCTAGATTCACTTGGGTATTCTTTCTTGCACGCAAAAATGAGGCTCATTCAATTCTTTCAAAATTTTGCAAAAAGGTTGAAAATGGAAAGGAATGTAAAATTAAAACCATTAGAAGTGATAGGGGTATAGAGTTTGACAATCAAGACGTTAAAAGATTTTGCGATGAAAATGGCTACAATCATAATCTTTCGGCACCTAGAAGTCCCCAACAAAACGGTGTGGTTGAAAGGAAAAATAGATCTCTTCAAGAAAAGGCTAGGACCATGCTAAATGAACACAAATCTCCTAGATCTTTATGGGCCGAAGCCGTAAATACTTCATGCTATGTTATAAATAGAGTTGTTATTAGAAAGATTCTCAACAAAACACCCTATGAGTTATGGAACAAAAGAAAACCTAATATAGGCTATTCAAAGTGTTTGGGTGTAAATGCTTTGTCCTCAATGATAAGGATAATCTAGGAAAGTTTGATGCCAAATCCGATGAAGGCATTTTTCTTGGATATTCCTCTAGAAGTAAAGCATATAGAGTTTATAACAAGAGGACCCTAGTTGTGGTTGAATCGATACATGTTGTGTTTGATGAATCCTCAACCTCTCCCACAAAAAATGTGATGGATAATGATGAAGAAGTTGAACTTGAAAAGGGATACCAATGAACTTGATACAAATAGGTCCCCTATAGAGCTTGAGAGGAGTATCAATGATCTCAACTTAAATAAGTCTTATTGATATCTATCAAAGTTCTAATTCAAGTAATGATACCTCTCTAAATAGAGCTACTCCAAATGAATGGAAGTTAGTTCATAATCATCCCATTGACCAAGTTATTGGTGATCCATCCAAAAGCGTTAGCACAAGGTCACAATTAAGAAATGTATGCAATTTTGTGGTATTCGTTTCTCAATTCGAACCTAAAAATATACATGAGGCTGAAAATGATGAATCTTGGCTTTTAGCAATGCAAGAAGAACTCACACAATTCAAAAGAAACAAGGTTTGGAATCTTGTCCCTAGACCTCAAAATAAAACAATTATTGGCACAAAATGGGTTTTTAGGAACAAAAAGGATGAGTCGGGAACCATTGTTAGGAACAAGGCTAAACTTGTTGCAAAAGGCTATAATCAAGAAAAAGGCATAGACTATGAAGAAACCTTTGCTCCCGTTGCTAGACTAGAAGTTATACGAATGCTACTTGCTTTTGCATCCCACAAAAATTTCAAATTATTTCAAATGGATGTAAAAAGTGCCTTCTTAAATGGTGTTATAAAAGAAGAAGTTTATGTTGATTAACCACCGGGCTTTAAAAGCTATGATGATCCAAACCATGTTTATAAATTAACTAAAGCTTTATATGGTTTAAAACAAGCTCCTAGAGCTTGGTATGAAAGACTTAGTGGATTTCTACTTTCAAACGGGTTCGGTAGAGGTAAAATTGATAATACTCTTTTTACCAAAATCATTGATGGAAACTTGTTGATCATTCAAATCTACGTTGACAACATTATTTTTGGATCAACAAATGACCTTTTAAGTAAAGAGTTTGCCACCTCAATGCAAAACGAGTTTGAAATGAGCATGATGGGTGAACTCAACTTCTTCTTAGGGCTGCAAATCAAACAAACTCTTGATGAAATTTTCATTTCCCAATCAAAGTATACCAAAGATTTGCTAAAGAAATTTGGCTCAGAAGAAGCCAAACATGCTAAAACTCCCATGAGTCCTACCTTAAAACTTGATAAGGATGAGAAAGGCAAGGAAGTTGATATTAAGAAATATAGAGGAATGATCGGAAGTCTTCTATATTTAACGGCTAGTAGGCCGGACATTATGTTTAGCGTGTGCTTATGTGCTAGGTTTCAATCTTACCCTAAGGAAACTCACTTGAATGTTGTTAAACGTATCTTTAAATACTTGAATGGCACTATCAATCTAGGTTTGTGGTATCCTAGGCACACATCCTTTGAATTCGTAGGATTTACAGATGCTGATTTTGCTGGCTGTAAAGTTAACAGAAAAAGTACAAGCAGCGCATGTCACTTTATAAGTTAATCTCTTGTATCTTGGTCTTGCAAAAAACAAAACTCGGTTGCATTATCAACTGCTAAAGATGAATATGTTGCTGCTGGCAGTTGTTGTGCACAAATTCTTTACATCAAACAACAACTGGAAGACTTTGGTTTATTTTTTGACAAAATCCCAATCAAATATGATAATACCAGCATTATTTGCATATCAAAGAATCCCATTCAGCACTCTAAAACAAAGCATATTGAGATTAAATATCATTTCCTACGTGATCATGTTTCAAAAGGTGACATTGAATTGATGTTCATTAACACCGAGAATCAATTAGCGGATATTCTCACGAAGACACTTCAAGAAGACAAATTTTGTACACTTCGTCGAGAAATCGGAATGGCTATAAAAAGTGAAATTCATAACAGCTGCTAATCCTCAAAATCAACACTTAAAATTTTGCTCTCAGGATCAGCATTTTGGTAGACCGAAATAAGAATGAGGTCGACCGATGAAGCCATTTCGGTCAACCGAACCTTCGGGCCCCATCACATATGGCCCATCTTTGAATGTTAAAGACCCGCGAATCTCATTCTTACCTTCAAACCTCAAAACCATATCTCTCTCGCTCCTTGAGGCGCCTCTCATCGTGCAAAACTTCCGCGATTTTCCTCCTTCATCCTCTCATGCGAATCTCTCACTATTTCTCAAGGTAAAATACACTTTGAACTCTCTCATCTTTTCGTCATATTCTCTCCTAAGTTTAATCATCTCTGATTATCATCTACTTAAAGGTCTCATCTACTGAGATTATTAAAACTCCTTTGCTTCATTCTAAGTTAGAAGTGTTTTCCTTCAGTCAATATCATCTTGTTGCATCACTATAAGATAGATTGTGTTGCTTTTAGTTCTGTCATCACCTCACATACACTCAAATCTATTAACATAAATTAATGGCACTTAGAAAAAATTCTTCTAAATCTGATAAAGAGAAAAGATCTAAGCTCACACATGACACTGAAGCTGGAGGGTCTAACCCCTCAAATCCTGTTCCTTCCGACCCTTACCCTGCCCCAGCTATGCGTCTATTCCGTGAGCCTGAGTTTAAAGAAGTCTACGAAACCAAGTTTCTCCACAAAATAGTTGAAAAAGGAAAATTTTTTGAGGAACATGACACTGAGGAACTCATCACACATACCTTTTTCTCTCTTTGAAGCCATAGGGTTAGGTGAATTCGTGTCTATCAAAGTTCCTATCTACCCCAAATTGGTTAGGCTATTCTATACTCATCTTCAGAGGGTCGTACGAAAGAACACCTTTCTTTCATTCGTTGTAGGTACCAAGATCAGACTCCCTCTGTCAGCCATTCGTCACATTCTAAACCTTCCTCATGGAGATATCACCTACGACACTGCCTATAACTGGTATAACGGGGAAGGGTTTGACCCTTACCAAGCCGTTCAACAAATAAGCCAATTTCCTACCAACAATATAGACAAAATCTATGCAAGTCAATTGACGGTACAAGCCCGTCTCATTTATCATGTCATCATCCATTGCATCCTTCCTAAATCTGGTGGCCTCTCCAATGTCTCATTCATGGAGGCATTTCTTATCTGGTGTGTTCTAAATGGCAAGAAATTCGATCTCACTTTTCTCATCTTTCATCATATGATCGATTACGCCAAGAAAGAAAAAACTCACCTCTTCTATGCTATGCCGCTTACCCTAATCTTCTGAGTATTAAAAGTGTGAATAGAAGGCAAGGATAAAAAGGAGCTCACTAACCTCTACAGAATCGACCGAGAATTGCTAAGTCGAATGGGTCTCAAAAAATCCGCACACAATATTTGGTGTGATCCCAAACACGGAGATCCAGTGTATAAGGGCCATGATATTAATATGGCTGAACCTCAGGCAGAAAAGGTTGCAGGAGATAGAAATAAAGAAAGGGAAGTAGAACAAGTTGAGGTTGAAGAAGAAGAAGAGGAAGAACAAGAATCCATGCATATCCCTCCCTCCAACGAACGGTCCATCCGTGAGCTTCTACTTGAGAATCTTGCTCTCTCTAAAAAACAAATTGCCCTCGGCAAAGAGAACAAGGAACACATTCTCGACCTGCGCCTTCGACTAGAGGAAATAGCAAATGAAGTCGATCTCGTGAAGAAAGACCTTGCCAATCTCCGTGTCACGGGACTTCCTCACTTTTGATGATCTCATACCCCCCGCCCCCCCCCCCCCCCTTATCCTTTTTATGAATGCCAAAGGGGGAGAATTTGATGTGTTATTGGTGGTTGATATGGTTGATGTTGTTATTGGTAGTTGATGTTGGTGTGACTTTTGTGTCTATTGAAAAACTGATAAAGTTGCTAATGTAGGTTGTGGATGGTAATGCTGATTGTAGTTGTAATTAAAACATTGGTTATAGTGGTCATTGGGGAATAGATGATGTATCTTGACCTTAAATTTGTGAATCAATGAAAATACATATTTTTGGCAATTAAAATCTATATGCTTTCATGCCTTCAATTCCTTCATGATTTGTTGTATGCCTGAAATATGTTATGCTTTCACTTCTAATGATGGTTAAATGATTGCACAAAGAAAGGGGGAGTTTTGTAAATCTCTTATTCATCAAGACTATGCACATTGATAGGGGGAGAATCACTCACATACATTTTCTCATTTAACGAACACATCAATGAATTGTCATTATCAAAAAGGGGGAGATTGTTGACCTTGAATCAAAGGTTTTTGATGATCATAATTCATTAATGATGTTCTATGATTACTAATGTCTTCTTGAGTGAAATTACAGAGCAAAGCATTCATCAAAACAAGCATTACAATATAAGGACAAATCTGAAGAAGGAATACCAAGGCATGAACAAAGGACCAAGCAATCAAAATTCAAAGTCAAGTCATCAGAAGATATCAAAATGGGGTTAGCTAGGTTGGTGAGTTTATTAGGAAGCTTTGTTAAAGTGTATATGAATATCTTAAAGTTCAAACTCTTCAACATTATGCATATCATCTCAATCACCATGACTAAGGAACAAAGGACCTAAGCATATCCTTATCTGAAAATGTGAATCCATTTCGGTCTACCGAAATGAGAAGCACTTGTATATCAGTCTACCGAAATGAACCAAGAGTTAGGATCAAAGCTTCAAGTTATTTCGGTCTGCCGAAATAAATCATCATTTCATTTCGGTCTACCAAAATGAATATACAGATCCAACTAATAGTTATTTCGGTCGACCGAAATAACTAAGAGTTCACTTCGGTCTACCGAAATAGATATACCGAGAGGGTGAAGTTCAATCCGGAAACTATTTCGGTCGACCGAAATAAACATGGGTTCCTCTTCGGTCTACCGAAGCTAAAGTACTAAGAAGGGTGTCCAAACATAAAACCATTTCGAATGACCGAAACTCAAGGGAGTTTCACTTCAGTTGACCGAAGCTGCGCATTTCAAAATTCTAATGGGCATTTCTGTCTTGGGGTGTGTGTCCAACAGCTAGAAAAGTATTAGACATCATCTGAATGTGTATATAATGACTGAATAACTTCATAAATGAAAGAAGATTTCATTGAAAAAGATCAACTAGCAATCAAAGCTTTTTATCATCATTTCATACACATCATATATCATAAAAGAGAGTTGAGCTTCAAGTTATTTATATATACTCTAGAGTGAGCTATATCTTGTACTTCAGATCTAAAAGAGAGATCATCTTGTACTTCATCTATATATTTCAAAAACTTGTAAGAGCTGGTGTGGCTCAAGGAAGACTAAGAGAAGGTGTATCTCTTAGCACTTAGAAGCTAGAAGGTGCTTCTTGTAAAAGGTTTTCTCTCCACCCGCAAGGAGAAGCCTTAGTGAATTGGGAAGTCTCAAGAGGGGTCTTGAGCCGAGGAGTAGGAGTTTTCGAACCTCGCTAAAATCACTGAGTACATGTTTGCAACTTCTATCTTTATCTCTCATATTTATTGCTTCATGTATGTCTTGATATGCCTCTTCATAAATATTGACAATTAATGCTTAAATTCAGTTTGCATCATTTAATATTTGTCAAAGAAGTTAAGTTTAACTTTAGTTGATAAATCAATATTGAAAAATTGACCTTAGTTTGCTTAGACTCTATTCACCCCCCTCCCCCTCTAGAGTCTATACTTGGGCAACAGATGCCATTTAGGAGTAAATTGTTTGAAAGATTGATATCTTGCTTGCACTTGTGGTCCACATCATCCTGATTTTGTGATTATTTTGAGATTCACTTTAGGATTCTACACTAGCACAGGCGCACACTAGCATTCATTTGTGGGGTAAATGCTTAGTTGATTATTGATTTGGTTATATCCCAACTGAGCTAGTAGTGCATTAAAAGTTTTCATTCTTGATAAATGTTAATAACAACCCCTTTTCACTAAGTAACCGGGATTCTAGCCTCAACAAGTACTATATTTCTCCCGCCGAAAGGTGGAGGGCCCAAACTCTAGGTTAATAATTGAACTTGTTAAAAAAAAAGAAAAAAAAAAAAAGAGATAGAGAAAAAGAAAAAGTTGCAAAAGTAATAAAAAGTGAGGACTTCTCCCAAAGGTGAGAAGTGGGAAATAATTAGATAGAGGTTGTTTTGATTTGTAGCCTAGTTGATTTGAGCTTGTAAGTCCTTAGAGGTGTTTGAACACCTAATGCCTTAAAGCCGTCTGGTTTGGGAGTCATTGACCTAATGGGAGTCATTGACCTAACGTTTGACCTCATGGATCGCTAGAAAGCTTAATAGATCAACACATTACACTATGCTTCCATCTTTGATCCTTAGGGATATATATATAAAAATATATAAAAAATAAAAATATTGAGTGAAAAAAATAAGCGCACCTAGAACATTAAAGTTTTAATAAAAGGTCCATTCTTTGTCTTGATGATCGATACTAGATTTGTGCGCTAGTTTGAGGGTAAGGATGTGATCATTTCTTTAGTTGGCTTAGATAGCAACATACTTGATATCGGTCCACTCAAAAAGAATTCTAGAGTTGTTTTGATTTGCATGATCATTTTCTTGATGTGTGGAGGACCATATTTGTTTGCTTGATGTTGAGATTTTGGGAGATTGCTTGGAAATGGTTGAAAAATTACGTACTTGAGGTAGTTTTCTCCAAATGCTTTTTTGCAATATTGGTGCCTCTTTTGTGAGAATGAACTTAATGTTTATGGGTATCATTTTTGGAAACCGTCACGAGACTTCACTCATCCACTAGGGGTAACCTAGGGGTTTAAAAGGCTTGCTGCATATGCTAAATGCAATCGTGTTCCCTACGAAAGTGGCATTATCCTTTTATTGTTTTCTAAATTATAGTTGGATAGATGTCCATTTCATTCCTTTACTTTGTAGTTCATTGCTAGGAACTAGCAATATTTAACTGAACAAGTTTCAAAACATCTTTTAGCCATATACGAACATCCATAACATGCTAAATCGAAGGGAAACTTGAAACATGCTCTCATGCATGAAATTTGCATGAAAAATTTCATAAATGATCCAAAAATAGTTCAAAAGTTGAAATCTATGTGTTTTACGAGATGTGATCATGCACGCATGCGTAAAACAATAAAGCAGACGCGCTATAATGGCCTACGGCCTCATAGCATGTCATGTACAAAATATGACCCTTCAATTCAAGAAATCCCATGTATCCCATAAGCAACTAAGAAGATATAAAGCATACATGTCATATAAAATGTCTTTGTCCCTTGGCCTCATTATATACACCTTCATAGGGTAACGAAAGGTGCACTTGAGTGCATGTTACATAGGTTGAATAATAAATACAAGTTTGATACATTGAACCAAAAAGGAAGCATGATATGCTAACAAGTGCATACCTATTATAACAAAAATGCTCCAAGTAGTCAAGCAAGCCTAAGAGTGTTGTGCATCCCACAATAATGCTTCTTTACCTGAAAAATAATCCGGTAACTTTGGGGTGAGTAAACAAGTTTACTCGTAGGGAATGAGCATGCAAAACCTAACTTTATACAACTTACGATTCAATGTAAATCAATTCATAATGTTTAACCGACATTGGAACTTCCAACACAATGCAACAAGATGTAAACTTACAAAGTTATCAACTTGGAATTTAAAATGCGAAATCAAACCAAAGTGGATACTTGAACATCACACCGGATCAGACCGACAACATAGTTACCTTAGGGTTACTAGTCCACGGGTAACCTCCCTATGTGCGCACTAAACTTGTAGAGGGACAATCCCCCGTACTAGAACCATGCCCTAGCCTTAGTCATAACAACGACGTCCCAAGTTTCCAAAATCAACAATTTATGCAACAACGTATATATATTAGCATAAACATATATACACAATGTAATACTATTTACTAAGCACAAACCAATTTTGGAAACACAATGCATGCCCTATGTTCACAACTATAATGGCATAAAGAATGTTGAATCATCATTATACAACTTGTTACATTCTAGAACAATGTTAGCCCACATTAAGAACATAATCTCACAATTGTGATACTAGTCTAAAATCATGGTTTAACTAGGCAAACCACAAAATACATACTCAAATCACTACTACTAAAAGGATGGAAATTAATTAAATAAAATACTTAATTCCTCTAGATTTTCATTTCCCATCCACACATGCTCTATTTAATATATGTTAAGGAACCTATCATGATTATTGCATATATTGCTCCAAAACTTGATTTAAATTATAAGAACATATAAATGAAAATTAATTAAATTAATCCATTACTTTCTCTAGATTTTAAAACAATCCTAAATGACTTCAAGTTAATATATGTTATACATCAAGTTATGGCCTTTGCAAAAATCATATCCTAGCTTAATTTCATGCAAGGTACCATTAACTACCAACTTAGAAATGTAGATTAAAGGCATGTATTCAATCTATACTAAATTAAAAAGGCATACAAAATATCAAAAACATAGTTTAAATCACCCCCTGCCTAAATAGAGAATTGAATCTCTAAAAACCAAAGTAAACCATGCTTTAAATGAAAAACCAAACTAGGGTTTTGTAGAGGAGAGTGAGAGGAAACAAAAATATTCCAAGCTTAAGTGTCTTAGGTGAGTGGAAGGAGGCCAAAAATGAAGTCAAAGCCTTGAGTCAAGCTTTTCCTTCAATGGAGGCTAAGTTAGGGTTTGAGAA